GACCTAGGGAGGATTTTATTTGGGGTTTATTTTTTAACAATTTGACAGAGACACAACTTTAAAATTTGATTTAATTCGGTTTTATCGGGGGGGAATGTATTTATGTTTTGTTTTAAATATGTTGTGCGCCGCCCTGAGTCCCGTCGGGAGAAGGGCGGCATATAAATTAAATTTATTATTATTATTATTATTATTATCTCTCCTTGATCTCCAAAGTACCATGGTATGTTTCTTTTTTGGAAAAAAAGAGCTGCCACCTTCATGATTTTTTTTCCTTATTTCAGAAACAGATGCAGACAGATCCCCATAAATTGGACTTTGGTTTGAAACCTGAATTTCTGAGCAGACCTCCGGGTCCCAGTCTTTTTGGGGCCATTCATCATCCTCATGACTTAGCCCGGCCATCAACTCTTTTCTCTGCAACCAGTGAGTTTGTAAACCACCAATTTGCTCTCTGTTTGGAAATGGAACAGGAAGAAATGGAAGGGTGGGCAGTATGATATAGACTTCAGCAATGCACGATAGTCTTTTTTCTACTGATAAATATGATCAAATAAACTTCATAAAATGAAATGTAAGACTTGAATCCCCCTGGTTTGCTGTTGTTCTAAATGCATTCTTCTCTTGATCAGAATTTCAGCAGGGTGGAGTACGCATGTACAGGTAGTCCTCAACTTACAACCACATTTGAGCCCAAAATGTCTGTCGCTAAGCGAGACAGTCATTAAGTGAATTTTGCCCCATTTTACGACCTTCCTTGCCACAGTTGTTAAGTGAATCACGGCAGCTGTTAAGTTAGCAACATAGTGGTTAATTGAATCTGGCTTCCCCATTGACTTGCTTGTCAGAAGGTCAGAAAAGATGATCACATGACCCCCAGGACGTTGCAACCATCGTACATACAAACAGGTTGTCAAGCGTCCAAATTTTGATCATGTGATCATGGGGATGATGCAAAGGTCGTAAGTGTGAAAAACAGTCATAAGTCCCTTTTTTTTCAGTGCTGTTGTAACTTCGAACAGTCAATAAATGAATGGTTGTAATTAAGGACCACTTGTGCTGCTCATATGCTCATTTGAGATAAACAGATATATTAGAATCAAAATATTGGAAGGGGCTGTTTAGGTCAGGGGTATGCAACCTTGGCTCTTTTATGACTCGTGGACTTCAACTCCCAGAATCCCTGAGCCAGTCATGCTGAGGAAGAGGGAGAGATTTCCAAGCTGAGCCATGGTGGCTCAGGAATTCTGGGAGTTGAAGTCCACGAGTCATAAAAGAGCCAAGGTTGCCTACCCCTGGTTTAGGCCATTAAGTTCAGTGTGCTGCAATGTGCAGGAATCTAGCATCCCAATCTCTCTGGCTAGGATACAGTGGCCACACTGGAAATGCTGTACTCAAATGTTTTGGTTTGCTTGCTTTTGAATGTGTTTTGCTAGGTGCCCACCATCCAGCCGGTCCTACTTTTGGCCCACCCTCGCACCACAGCAACTTTCTCAACCCAGCAGCCCATTTAGGTAAGTAGAAACTCTCAAACTAAAATAGTCAGAATCCTCTTGCTTCTGAAAGGCTGTCCTAGATTTCAGGATATTATCCAAAGGTCCATGATTTCAAGACGTCTAGTCAACGTCTACTCGGGAAACTGCTTCCGATCCCTTTCTTTCATGTTGAGTCCTTTCGTGGAGAAAAGGTGGGGTGCAAATCTTGGAGATTATCACAGAGATGAGGTGGCAAATGATTTTTTAATCATTGGACGGGAGAAGACCATTTATATTTTGTTGAGACTCTAGAAAGAGTGCATAGAAGAGTAACAAAGATGATCAGGAGACTACAAGCTAAAATATATAAGGAACGGCTGCTGGAATTGGGTATGTCTAGTTTAACGAAGAGAAGGACGAGGGGGGACATGATAGCAGTGTTCCAGTATCTCAGGGGCTGCCCCAAAGAAGAGGGAGTCAAGCTATTTTCCAAAGCACCTGAAGGCAGGACACGGAGCAACGGGTGGAAACTAATCAAGGAGAGAAGCAACCTAGAACTAAGGAGAAACTTCCTGACAGCTAAAACAATTAATCAGTGGAACAACCTGCCTACAAAAGTTGTGAATGCTCCAACACTGAAAGTTTTAAAGAAGACATTGGTCAATCATTTGCCTGAAATGGTATAAGGTTTCCTTCATGAGCAAAGGGTTGGACTAGAAGACCTCCAAGGTCCCTTCTACCTCTGTTACTCTATTCTACTTTAGAACCTGAGAGCTTCCATCTGCTAGTGTGGTGCAGTGTAGCAGTTTGTCTTTCTTCATTTTATTTCAAATATGGCCTCTTGTTCTGGGCTTCCTTTTTCCATCACGTCAGTATGATGCTTTATATGTTCACAGTTGGCCACACAAAGTGAAGAGTAAATCAGTGTGATGGTTTACCTCTACTTCAATGTTCTGCTGAACTTTTCCACATCCAAAGAGCAGAGTGACTTGCCCTTGATAATTTTTTCTCCACAACTTTAATCTTGGTGTAACTACGTTGATGTAACTTACATTGTTTAAACTTAAAAGGGTGCTGTAGCTCAACGCTTTAAAGATGTTGGATTTGTCGGCCAAAGATGCCCCGCACTCCGGCGATTCAAGCCCACAGCACCATGTGCCAGAGTGAGCTCCCGTCAATTGCCCCCAGATAGTGCTTTGAAAGCATGTAAAAGTGTAAGTAGATAAATAGCTACCACGTTGGTGGGAAAAGCTAGCAGTGTTCCATGTGGAAGTAGGAGACAGTGTTGGACCTGCCTGGATGTCAGGCAAGGCCGGCAAAAAAAAGCCTGGATGACCCAATATCCTGTGAGCGCTGCTAGCCAGCTGGGGCCAAGCTAGTTCACCCCAGCGGTATGCCATGGATAGTATGCATGTGTGAACGAACAAACTAGCAATCTTAGGTTGCCAGAACTACTCTGTGATAAAAAGCATTGTAGACTTCCCTGGTTATGTATGCCATAACGCTAAAAGAAAGAAAGAAAGAAATTGCTTAAACTCTGAATATCACTGCTGCATTCTGTGGCAAGTATCAGATATGTAGAATAATCCATGACTAGCTTTGATGATGTTACTTAGTTTGGCCAATGAAACATCTTCAAGAAAACAACCGAGCTCAGAGAGCACCAAGGATCCTTTAGACTAACACAAATGTTAACTCGAGAGTTTGTAGTACAGGCAGTCCTTGACTTACGTCTGGTCACTT